TTAATATTTTGTTTTGAAAGACTAATACGAAAGACAATTTCTATTTCAAGATACGGATAAACTGCTATTCAACTAATGCAAGTTTCTATTGTATATACGTAAATTAGTTTGTTGGTGAGATTTGTATCCATTCTCGTGTTGTAAGTCATGAACTGAGTTTTTTGTGGAATTATTTTTGAATGACTTTTTTTTACGTGTTTGTTGCTCGTTTGCTCTGAATGGTATTATCTTTTTCAGTAACTTCTTATATCGTCCGATCTATTTCACACCAATTGAGTCAGTTTTCAAAACATTGAGTATAATTTGTGGCCTTATATTAAAAAGTAATGAATACATTCTCTCTTTATGATTGAACTGGCAGTTAACTATATCTTCGCATTTCCAATTCGGAAAGACGAATGCCAGACCCTGGTCGCAATTTCATAATAGCTTCAACTGTGGTTATTTAATGTCATCTAGTAAAAACCCGTATGTCACGCATCAATCATTTGTTTTTAGTATTTGAGTCATCAGGACTAGACTCTTCTTAGTATACTGAAATCCCGAAAGGTGATTCGGGATACTCCTCTCATGATGGGATCAGTATCAAGCACAGAATTTATAGGATTTCGGGACTGGGTTAAGATTACATATTCTCAAAACTAATAAGGATTTGAAGATATCATTTTCGTCCAAACTATCATTGAACTTGGACTCTTTGTCTCTAGGACTTTTGGATCTCTAGGACTTTTTGTGCATCGGGACCATTTTGCCGCTTGCGACTTGAAGAGTTCACCAGCTGAGTCTTTTTCTTCAGAACAAACCATGATTTTATCAGTGAAGCAAAATCCAAAAAAATAGTATGTCGACTACAACATTTGTTCATGTTTCCTATAGTCCGAACAAGTTGGAAACTGTCATAAGGGTTCGATATATGGTTATTGTTGTGTTTTTATTTTTTTTCAATTTACTCATGATTGGCATCACACTACATGTGACTGTAGGGTTGCCAATAATATTCATGTAAAAGAGAGGACACTTGATAAGCAAAAAAGTCCATTTATTTTTGTAAGTAATTTAGATTAACATCAATTCTACTCATTTCTTGTTTCCATTTGTAATTCAACTGAAAAGATTCGTCCACAAAATGCAGATGAAGAAGGTCTGATCGGCTTTTTTTATTTTACTCGCTAGACAGTGGCACTGTCATAAATGCGTGTGTCAGTGTTCAGAAAAAAAAGGTATTCATGTTTTCCATTCTAAATTAAACAATAAACGGTACAATGTAGCAGAAGTTTGTCATATGACAAAATAAATTACGAAAAATGTAAAAAATTACTAAATGGAGGACATTTAAAATAAAATGGAGGACGAGAGGACAATTGTCATCAATAGAGCACTGTCCTCTCAAATGAAGGACGGCTGGCCATCCAATATGGTCGTGTCCACTGACCATGAATTTATGATCAATGATTTCCAGAATTGTTTTTCTTAAGTGTTAGAAATATAGCAGCTAATACGAGATATTCTTCTGGTTTCCACATCCGTCGAAGAAGTAAAATAACAACTTTAATAACCTCATCTGGTGGCATAAGAAGCTCTTCATACAAACAGTTGCAATTTCATTTGCGCCACATGCCTCTTTTCCCTCGTGCCGCTCGTAACGCTTAACTTCCCTTGTTGATTATGTATCGTAAGATTATAGGTCTACATCTGGCGCTTATAGAATGAAACTGAGCTGTTCAGATAAAGGATTGGAAGATTCTGCTACCGCGAGAGGTGGCTCAGGGTATCAACTGATGTCACTGCAGTGCAGCTAACATGAGAGGTTCTTGGTCCGAGGCCCGGTGGTAGCAGAATATTCGAACCTGGCTTGTCAGCTAGAAGCTAGTCGGGCAGAAGTCCAGCGACCGGCTGCTCTGATCGGTAGTTTTTCGTGGTTTCTCCGATCAACATCAGGCAAATGCCGGAGCAGTACCTTAACAAACGGGCCACAGATCGCGCGTGACCTTTTCTTCCACTTCCTTATCCTACACACACACACATTTTCACTACCCTATCACATATGCTGGGGGACCGGTCGGGAGCTTGGATCGTGCCCGACTGGGGTGGTGCCACGCTGATGGGAGATACCTGGTTGGGGAACCCAGCTAGCCGACGGTAGGTCGGCGCCGGATCATGCCATTCAGCGGGGTAAGATCACCGCCACCTCACGAGGGAAAACATTCACTACACTTACGCGGCTAATGACCTTAGCCGTTGACGTGCCCGGAATCACTAACAAGCAACCAACCAATTGGTTGATGACCAAGATTCTGCTGTAAATCGAAAGTATCCTTTTTTCATTCAAGTTTCGTGTTCACAGAGTTTTTTATATTTTTTGAGTTGTACAGTATGTCATCCAGTTGATGGTGACTTAATTCTCAGAATGTTCCCTTTCTTGGATAACTGATACTTTTAATTTTCATATTTAATGCGTCATATTTGTGTCTCCCTGAGAAACTTTGAAGCTATGATTCAATTTATGATGTCCTTGAGTCCTCATATTTCGGGACAATGGATTAGAATTTGTTTCACAATACAACGAATACATTTTCTGAATGTTTTTATGAGATGATAGAATATTTTTCTGACTAGTGCACCTTGGGTAGTGCAATTCAGAAGGAGGGAAGTTTTTGATGTGTTGCGCTACAGAAACCATCACTTCATCGGAACATGTTCTGCCTACAATTTCTCTTCGTTTCTTATTTGGAGGTACCCTTGAGAGTGTCAGAGGTTTTTTCTTTGCTGCATTAGTTACAATCAACTGACACATTATGTATATATTTTTGAAGCAATCTCGACGAACTTTTACCCTACAGCCTGTAATCTGAAGATTAAATGTAATTTCCTTGTAGTTTCTTTTCACAGATTCAACATTTCCCATTTTTTAGATATCTTCTTTCCGCTGATTTATATGAGATTTGCCACTTATGATACTTGTTTAGTATCCTCTCCCAATGACCAAAACTTCTAAAATTCTTTCATCACATCTCTTCAGGTATTCTTTCCCTGTATTTTAAATGTCATATTCATCAAAGTTTCGTTTCCATTATCTTAAAATCTTTTTCCTTTAGATGACATGTGCTTGATCTATGTTTTGTTTTTCTTACACAGTCCAAGGATACTCAATCAGGGAAGGGTTGTTCGATTTTGGTTGTTTGTCCACTTTGTTTGGTTGGTTGGTCCACTCTTGTTAAAAATGACGTGAGAAATTTTCGCAATGGTTCATCTAGTACTATTGAAAGTTGTGAAATAATTGTACGTGTAGAATATATTGAGAATTGACCAAGAAACAGGCATAAAATATTACAGCAAACTTGTTAATAATGTATAAGATAGGAACATGTCAGGAATAATTGTTATTCCTGTCATGTTACTAATGTATTACGTTTGGTTGCCTGTATTGAATTACAAGATATTAACGGTAATTACTAAATCATTTGCCATTATTTATGTTCGTCGGTACCAACTGTAAGGCCTTGGATTTTCCGACCAGTTATAGTAGTCCCTTCTTAGAGTAACTCCCTATACCTGGAGAGAGAAAATCTGACTTTTAGTTCGGCACCGAACTTCCTGTTCCAGCAGGGTAGGAACCAAGTCGCCTCCGAGCTATATATTATTGTTTATTTGTCGTTCACAAAATGCATGTGACATGCTAGCGGCAGCCAAGATAGGTGGGACTCAGAAACATCTCGTCGTCCCTAACCTTCTTCCCCCTCCTTGACATCGCTTTTAAGTTACTCTATGCTTTTTAGGTCGTTTTTTAAGTACTGAGTCACACAGCGTCCACTGTGATTTTTTCCCCTTTGGGGTAACTGTAGGGGGAAGACGACACGTAAGGACAAAACAAAGACATACACAAACACTCATGCTCGAGGCTGGACTCAAACTCGTGATCCCTGCACTACTCTCTTAGTGATATCGGCTATCCGGATCGGTTTAGGTGTCTTTGAGGAAACTAATACGGGGTGTTTACTCTCTCTCTCTCTCTCTCTCTGTCTCTCCTCTCATGGACGGCAGGATCCTGCGCCTATATTTCCGAAGTGTAGATTAAACTGGCATAGCTCACCTCTAAGTCGGTCCGCGGGGATTGGTCCCGCTTTAGCGTCCCTATACAACCCCTTGGGTTGTAGACTCGGGAAGGATCTACTTGTTGCCGAAACCACTGACAATTTACATCCGTGCTCTCGTATCTACCGCGTGTTAACTGTTTTATAGTTAACTCTAGCGCAGGCTAAGTTTTCCTCCCAGCTAAAACATGCACCATATTAACAGAGCTGATGACCAAATCAAGTGACGTGCCCAGAAACGAAATACTCACTCACTCACTCACTCACTCAC